GTACATCAGCAGCAAGAGTCAAACCAGGCAACTCAATGTGAGGCCCAAAGAAAGCGACAGAGAATGCTGCTGAGAAACTCAGGAGGTTATCATAGAGACTGAAATAAGAGTAACAGAGAGCAAGGGAAGTGAGAAGGAAGTTTCCCAACTGTGCCAATACAGACTTCCCAGATGTGTCTATTCCACGACAGCTGGATGCTTATCAGTTTGCCAAATGCTTATGTAAAGCTAAAGCCAAAGACCACATAAAAAAAAAAAAAAGCTGACATTTCTAATAGAAAAAAAAATTAGAACTGAGAACTTATTTTGACCCTTCACTTTACAGATGTCAAATTCCATGAATGTAAGGGATCTTTTTAACAAACAAAACTCTTTAACAAAACTGCACCGCAAGAAGTTGTATTCGGGGTGATCTCATCCAGTGATAGTTGGTGTTAGGACACTACAACCTGAGCAGAGAAAGGAAGAGAGTGGATAGAAGAAGGAAGACCTAGAACTATGCTACAATTTGCACATTTTTGGGCTTACTGCTCCCAGCAAAGCAGGAAAACATACTGTAATAGATATGATTCCTGAATTCAGTCTAAAGGTGCTTCAGGGGTTTGTGCTATGGCAGATCCAGATACCTCATGCCCTCCATCCCAGCTCCCATTTAGCACGCACCTCTGTTTTCTTCTGCTTCAATCTCCTGCTTCTCCACATTCGTTCTCTCCTTACATCATTCTCAGCAGTACCAACATGGACACAGGTGTGAGAGCAGCACATTTCCCTGTCGATACTGGGTGCCTGCACATGGCGCTTTTTGCCCACTCTCCCTTTCTCCCCGTTGCGGATGATGTCATCTGTTCTCACCATCTCAGCAAGCAGCTGCACAGCGCTGCCTTGTAAGCATGTCTACCCTTCCACCTACTCCTGAATGCCTCCATATGGTGCTGCTGCTTCTCCTGATTTTCTCTCCAGAAAACTTGAGCTTGATATGCTCTGAACTCAACTCTTATCATTCTTCTCTAACACTTTTTGCAGATAAAACTTTCGCCATTATTGCCTCCTGTAACATAACAAGTAACTTGTGACTCCTTTGCATACATTTGAACTATGTATCCAAGCTATACACAAAATCCTGTTACTACCGTCCCCTATATCCACATCATTTTCCTTCTAACACTACAGCCTGACTGAAGAATTAGACAGGGAGACTGAGATTAATCTGTTTAAATTTAGACAGGCTTCCCTACTTATCCTAAGTCATACTGCAAGTGAAGTAAGTAAATCTCTAATATATTTCGAGGTATATATGCTTCATTTCAGGAATCCCCTTCAACTCTTGGTATTCACTAGCTTCATGCTCTTGCGAGGCAGGAGAAGCAGAAACAGCTTGAAGGCTTCAAGCAGCTGCTACTTGGCAGAGTACCCAGCACCTGCTGAATCCAGGAGCTTCGTTCAAAGTTTCTGCAACCTTTTGTTTTTTTCTCTCTATTACTTCACTATAAAATTTTCTAGAGGTAAAAGAGGAACAGAATCACAGAATCACAAAGGTCAGAGAAGACCACTAAGACTACCTAGTCCTACCATCAGCCCACTGCCACCATGCCCATAAACCATGTCCCTCAGTGCCACAGCTCCACTTTTCTTGAATGCCCCCAGAGACAGTGACTCCACAACCTCCCTGTGCAGCCAGTGCCAGTGCCTCTCCACTCTACCTGAGAAGAAACTGTTCCTAACGTCCAACCAGAACCTCCTGTGGCACAACAGGAGGCCATTACTTCTCATCCTATTGACCGTCATTTACTTGGCAGAAGAGGCCAATGCCTGCCTCACTACAACCTCCTTTCAGGTACTTGTAGAGAGCAGTAAGGTCGAGGAAACAAACTAGAGGAATATGCAGCCATTACAAAACAAGAAAGTACAATGTTACCTAAACATAAGTAGCATATTGGACAGTTGAGGAAAAAGATGAAGAAAAAAAAAAACAAAACAAAAGAAAAAAGAAATGTTTACACAATTGCCATTTATGATTGCACAGAACGTCACCAGTATTTGACCGAACTTATCTTAATATAGTAGCCTCGATAAGAACCACACACATTAACAGCATTTTACCAAACTTTTCAGAAAAAAAAATCTTTCAAATCAAGAAAAAAAACATAAAATGTCCAAACCTCCATGCTTATTTGACACAGATAACCAGCAGAACATTTTTACTGAGATATTCTTAAATTACTTGCTTCTGCAAACTGATGCTAAAAATTATTATTTTTGGTTGCACAGTTTATTCATCTCTAGAAATTATTTTAGCATTAGTAGTAATTAAAATTGACACTGTGCCACACTTCCCTTACTCTTCATTAAGAGATTGTGAGCACTGTTTATGTTGTGAACAGATTCAGAAATAAGTTACAAAACAAAGAAGTGAAAACGAAAACCCTCTGCAGTCTCTACAAAGGTTGAGAACGTAATGCAAGGCACAGCCTTACAAAAACCTGCCAAGTCTCCAGAAAAATCCATGTGGAATATTCAAAAATTGTGTAAAATTAATATTTCAACAAAATTTACAGGCGACGCTACTGTACATGTGCTGTATGTGGTGATGGATCACACGAATCTTTCCTGATTCATGAACTAAACTGAATTATTGAGCCATTCTGAGGATCTGAATAATCTCTGAATCTTAATTGAAATGTTACTAATATACAAGGGGGTGTTGACTTGTCCTGAATATTATTTATTGAAGGCAAGACCTAAGTGTTGACTTGCATATAAACAGACTGGAGAGATTCAGTTGGCTCACAGAAAATAGGAGGCAGTTTTATTTTGGAGATATTCCTAGGACAAAAGAAAAAATCACAAATGGAAAGGAGGCAAACGCAAATAGAGATCGTTGGAAGCTTTTTAAGTAATAAAGGTTTAATCCAATTTTTTTTTTACAGCATCATGTGGTTTCCAGTGTACACAAAGTGAAGAGTGAAAAGGTAAAAATAACACTGGCATAGCCTTAATATATTCCAGAATTCATAAATCATTTGTAAATTTAGTCCTTTTATAAAAGAATCCTTATATAAATCAGGGAGGGGGGGGCGAGGGGGGAATCAATCCCATATATGAAGCACAGTTTAAGCCCCACATCACTGACCAATCAAAATTAGTGAATGCACTGCATCTCTCTGCAGTGAAGGGAAGCGACAAGGTAGGCTGTCATTCTGCAAAAGCTGCCCATCGCAAGCTCGCCTCTCCGAAGCGCTGCTCTGCTTTTTTAGAAAGCCTGAATCTCAGTGGTGTCTCTGGAGACAAGAAGCCTTCAGTATGTTAAATTACTTTCATTATGTATTTTCAAATGCTTATTGATTCTACAGTAGGAAGAGTGGGAGACTGCAGCAGCCTCTAAACCAGAACTAAAGCAGTTGTATACATTAGCAGTATGCTGAAACAATGGCACACTACAGGCACAAATTCTCATTAAGGTCATTTTTCGAGGATGTGCTTTTCACCCTCTTTCCCTTCTTCTCTGCTAACAAGTGAACAAAATGAATCCCTCCAACCTGGAACTGCTTCACCTGCACCGAGAATTTATCAAACCTGTAGCGGAGGTAAGATCTGTTCCTTATTATGGTATGCAGAATAAGCAGCATTTAACAAAAACGGGGGGAAAAAAAAAGAGGAAAGAGGAAGGTATCAGATTCAAGTGCTTGTATTAAGCACTGCGATCGTGTTGTATTTGAGTCCGGGGAATATCTGAATGCTATTTCCCCATCCCTATTAAAAACACAGTGGTAGACAAATGCTATTTTGTATGAAACTCTTGCAGAATATTAAGAACCTGTTTTGTTCATACAATATAAAGCCAGTGTAATTTAGCTTAATATAGTACTGGGGAAAAAAAAAAACAAAAAAAAACCCGGAATGCAACTGGGAACATTTCTTTCCTCCCTCAGCAGTATTTCCAAATATTGGCAGTTAAATATGTTACAGATTTATTCAGTTGCTCTCTGAAGGAGCCGACAGTCTGTTAATTGCTGTACACTTACTGTTTTATGAAGGTCAAGTAATATGACTAATCTCTGACTTGCTCGTGAAATCTCCCTTCTTTTCCCTGTTTGGTCGGTTTTGAAGACTTACTTCTTCCACTGTCCCTCCAAAATCAAGTCACTTCTAGAAACACTAATTTGTAGCACATTTATTTCAAGAAATACAATTTTAACAGTGTGCAAATTAAACAAAAATGTATTTCCTACAAAGTTTATCGACTTTGCTCAAATTCTCTTTAGCAGATCAGAGAGCTGCATGCATGAAGTAGCTGCTGCTTAGAGCTGAGTGTCACAGCACTTTACGTCTAGCAGTTACTGCTTCCAGTTAGGGTTTCCTGCAACCTGCACTGTTTGCAGAATAGGAGACTTGTCCAAAAAACTAAATTCATGCAAGTTAACACAAACATGACATGATTTTATTAGGAAATAAGGAACATGATAACTGATATCATCTGTAAGATACAATTCTAGGCATTCTTTATTCGCCAAATAAGTGATATTACAAAGTATATCATTGCATTACTTTATTTTGAAATTCTAAGCCCTACTCTTAACCTTTTTTTTTTCCCTCCCCTTCACAAGGGCATGCAGCAACTAATTCAGTTTTACAACTGACAGTATGAAGAGTGCAGTTGGCCGGGTACCTTTCTAGCTGTATGACCTACAAGCAGCAGGACTCACCACTACCGTGCATTCTTAAGGCATAAAGGAATTAGAAACAAAACATGGAGCACACTTGTACTTACACATCAAGAATATATGTGGAAGACTGATGCATATGCTCAGATTTCATTGGAAGAAGAATAAGAGTGATTCTTAAAATGGTGAGCATTTCTTAAAGAGGGATTTATAATTTAAAACCAGAACTGTGGAAACTACCGATGCATGAAGAAACAATGAAACATGAATTCCCAAAAGGAGAATATGCATTCTTCACCAGCAAGCTGCACAAGGGTTTAACCACGCTTTTTCTATACTGCTCATTAAATATCTTATTTGTCATAATGACTAATGGATATTTTTCTCTCAATTTTATGATCTGTTATGTATTCTCCTTAAATGAAAATAAACCAAATTAGGTAACTCATGGTTACTGTCAAAGCACACGAACTGGATTTTATGATGTACAGCAACTTCTTCAACTAAGCCATCACTCAAAAGTAACGAGCAGGAATATTACAGAAAGAAATGTGCAACTGTAACTAAAGGATGTCTACATACACACCGAACACAGAAGGCAGATATTCTTCTATTTTCTTTTTTAAACCTGGCAAATAAAAGCAGGCTGCTACAAAATGCAAGAGGGGAAAGAAATTAACATCACCTAAAGAAGGTTTGTCGTTGCTGGCCTGGAACTTGGCACAGACAAAGTATCTCAGGCAACTGAGGAGTCCCCATGTTTAATCAAAATTTTCTGCTGCTGAAGTGCTGGAGCAAAAAGAGGAAAAAAAAATCTGCAAGGAATGAAATAGGAGCCCAGCTAGCACTTGGTTTCCAGGTGACAGTGCATGTCAAATATCTGTCGGTGACACCATGTATCAATTTATGACAAGCTGCTACCAGGAGCTGAAAGACCCTTGAGGCGCAGGAAGCAGGTAGGTCACCGGCTGTGTGCCGCAGCCCCTGCTCCGCGTTGCACCGGAGCAGCACCGTGCAGAAGGGCAGCGCGCCCAGTAAATTACCTCTGCTCTGACATTTACACTCGTACTCACCTGAAATTAATCAGTGAAACAGAGAGGTGATGCTCAATCTTCGATTTTACAGATATAGTTCATCCGAAATTCTCAGTTGCCACAAAAATTTCAGAGTAAGATTACAGTTCAGATGTTGTGGGCTTTGTTTTTTTCAGTGTTTGCTTTTGTTTTGTTGCTTTGTTTTTGTTTTGTTAAAGCAAGACCTGCTTTTGATTTCCTCCTGGCTTTCACTAACACAAAAGAGCTCACTGTACCCAGTAATGCATCTGGACCACTTCTTGAAATACAGTCAAAGCCAGGACACGCAAACAGAGGAAATCATGTTCCTGAGGTTTAATGTAAACCCATCTGAATTCACCTAAACTGGAAATGAAACAAAGCTTTTGAAATGTTTGTTTCATTTCACACACGAGTCTCGTATGTTCTCATTTACATCTTTTATATTTAAGAGCTAAATGTGAAATAACTGCTGAAGCATACCAAGACTTTTCATCTTACAATTTGCAATTAATAGTATTGTGCAATAGAGGCTTTTCAGAACTGCAGATGAAATTCATTTGCATACCGTATCCCAAGTGTGCTGAATTCATACTTTCATTAAAAAAGCAGCTCAGTTTTGTTCACCTTAGTGCTATCCATTTTTAATGGATTCAGATTGGGAACAAAGGTCTGCATTTAAATTTTGTTTCATGCCAAGTACTTCCCCTCTTAAATTTAAAACTACTTATAAAACCCTCAAGTATCACAACAAGAAACTGAACGACCTCTTATTTATTCATCTCATTACAGCCTCTAGAGCTGGCTGACAACACAAGCAATGCACACGCCAGGTATTATTAACACAGATGCTCTGCTTACAACCTGCCGGTGTGTGGAAACCAAAGCACGTGCAGCCACAAAATAAAAGTACGAGATGTAATAAATGCTACTTCTTTGGGCCTCACTTACTGCTGGGATAAATACATTATGGATTTATATTTGTTGGATTTAATTTCAGTATGTAAAAAATCTGGAAGAGACAATTTTACATTTAAGTACTGTTTTATAAAACTTAAATCTATTCTGGAATAAAATTAAATACTCTTCCATCAGGCACTAATTTTCTGAAGAAACAGAATATTTGAATCAGAAAGAGGAAACGTAGCATTTCTGTAATGAATTCCATTACCCCAAACCTATGTAAGGTTCTTGCTGGAAATTAAACATACTTAAGTAGACTGTAGTACAAGTTTCATACATGTAGGTGCACACCAGATAGAATAGAACAGAAGTCTTAAAGTCCTATAAAAATCTGTTTAATTGCATAACTTCAGGTCTCAGTTTATGACACTCTTACAAAGTCTTCATCAGGATGCTGCTAAATTGCTGTCAGATATTTTAAATGTTCTTTTTAGGATACATAAGCAACAGTGCTCTACGTTTCTATCACTTCCTTTTCTTCCACAAGAGCCTTTTTAAAACGATCTTCAGTACTAATTTGTCAATACTTAACAACATTATGCTGAAATAGCACTCACCACAACACAAAGGCAAAGCACAAGTACAGTTTATTCAACAAATGGGCCTTTTGTAAAGGCCACATCACTATAAATAAAGCCTTGTCTCCCCTGAGTGGAAGCTTTTCATCTTTTTTTTTTTTAAACAAATCTTGCTTTCCTTTAAAAAGGAAAGACCTTATTGTGGATCCTCAGGCTTTTGGGTCTATGCCAAATACAGCTCTAAACATACAGTAAAGTAAGAGTTCGTTAGGAATGGGTGCTTTTCCTCTATCCTCCATTCCCATCGTTTTTCGGAAATAACAGAAAGTGTTAAAAAAAGAAATCAAGTAGTTCCGTGTTTATTTCACCTTTCAGGAGAAAAAGCAACTGCAACAAAAGAATGTGTTTCTCCCCCATTCTGGAAGGCAACATGCAGTTTGAATCTAACTTCACAGTTCGAGATGCCATTGACGACATCGACACCAACATGTACCGACCACTGTCATACGCATTAAGCTTTCAAGTGTCTCTCACTGGATTTTTGATGTTAGAAATTGTTTTGGGACTTGGCAGCAACCTCACCGTGCTGGTACTTTACTGTATGAAATCCAACTTAATCAATTCTGTCAGCAACATAATTACAATGAACCTTCACGTACTTGATGTAATAATTTGTGTGGGATGTATTCCTCTAACTATAGTTATCCTTCTGCTTTCACTGGAGAGTAACACTGCTCTGATCTGCTGCTTCCACGAGGCTTGTGTCTCTTTTGCAAGCGTTTCGACCGCAATCAATGTCTTTGCTATCACTCTGGACCGATACGACATCTCTGTCAAACCTGCCAACCGAATTCTGACCATGGGAAGGGCTGTGATACTAATGACATCAATATGGATCATTTCGCTTTTTGCCTTCCTGATTCCTTTCATTGAAGTCAATTTCTTCAGTCTTCAAAGCGCAAGTACTTGGGAGAACAAGACACTGCTGTGTGTCAGCGCAAACGAGTACCACACCGAGCTGGGGATGTACTACCACCTCCTCGTCCAGATCCCAATCTTCTTCTTCACCGTGGTAGTGATGCTAATCACATACACCAAAATACTCCAGGCTCTTAACATCCGAATCGGCACAAGATTTACAACGGGACAGAAGAAGAAAGCTAGAAAGAAAAAAACTATTTCTCTCACCACACAGCACGAGACCACAGACATGTCGCAGAGCAGCGCAGGAAGAAACGTGGTCTTCGGCGTAAGGACTTCTGTGTCTGTGATCATTGCCCTGCGCCGAGCCGTGAAGCGGCACCGGGAGCGGCGAGAGCGGCAGAAGAGAGTCTTCAGAATGTCCCTCCTGATCATCTCCACCTTTCTGCTCTGCTGGACACCCATCTCCGTTCTAAACACCACCATCTTGTGTTTGGGCCCAAGTGACCTTTTGGTAAAGTTGCGCTTGTGTTTTCTAGTCATGGCATACGGAACAACTATTTTTCACCCTCTACTTTATGCATTCACAAGGCAAAAATTTCAGAAAGTTCTGAAAAGCAAGATGAAAAAACGAGTTGTTTCAATTGTGGAAGCAGACCCCATGCCAAATAACGCTGTCATACACAACTCGTGGATAGAGCCTAAAAGGAACAAAAAGATCACCTTTGAAGACAACGAAGTAAGGCAGAAATGTTTAGTACCTCAGGTTGTCACTGACTAGACTTCAGTATTCACCAAAACACATCGAGGAACATTTGAACAAACCGTAGAGAAATACTGCCAAATAAGACAAACATTTTTTAACTATTGGCTAGACTGTATATTTTCCAATATCTGTGTTAAATAGAGTAGGTCTTGTAGATTCAATTTCTTCATTATGTAAGATATCTGTTGCATGGCCGTTTGTTAGCGTAACACCATGTGTATATTTGTCAGAAATACTCAAGTCCTCTTTTTTAGAAAATAAATAGCCTTAAAGAAGTGCAAACTTTTGAAAACATTTGTACGGCTCAGTTTCTCTGTAAATATAAAATAATTTTTAAACATGAATTCCATTCGGGAATCTTTCATTTTCTAAAGCACAAACTCAGCATTTTGCCTGGTATGTTTTTAAACTGAATTCATAAACACTGATCAGAGATATTCTGATCACTATATAGCTACAATTTAGTCACATTTTAATCTCATACTCGGATATGCACTTATTTACTTATTTCAGATTTCTACTGCATCCCATCAGCATGCTTCTCAATTAATGATTCAGAAGCAGTTATTTTTATTTGAATCACATTGGTTGAAAAACTTCTAAGAAAAGAGGAGAAGAAAAGTTCTTGCATATTGAAACAGTTGATCACAGTCTCAGATGTAGAGTTCTGGTATGGAAAGCACAGAATATTGAATAATTATATGAGAGGCAGAGGGAGACAGTGGGAAAGATGCACTACATGAGGGCGAAAACGCAGATGAGAAAGTCACTGGTCCTGATATTAACAGGCAAGAACCAACAAAACCATTTCTGTACAGTCTCAGATGCTCACGCTGCAAGGGCTTTGCAGCTGGACCTCCAGCATGACACGGGGATCTTCTGGAAAGACAATATTCATTCATACCATCTATCATCATAGATAGATAAAGCTGTCAAGTGCCACAGCTAAATTAGAAACAATTTTCTTGGCCTCATTAGCTTTCATATTATTTGGGTTTGCTCCAGTGATGTTCAGTTCTGGTCATGCAACTGCTGCAACACAAGCCAAATCCCACGATGGCTTAGCTAACCTATTTCTGGATATTCTGGACAGATGTGTCATACCATTGTTATACACCCTCTTTTTCCATTTCATCTCATGCCTTCAATGAGTAGACAGAAGGCCTTCAGAAGCCATCATCTATAGCACTGCAAGCAAGAACTGAGATACTCATCCCCCCCCTTTTTCTGGGGGGTGGTTTGAACTATTCCATATATAAAAACCTCAGCATTTCAGTGAACAGTGGCTACATTAGTTGACCTTTAAAAAACCTACAGAAACAATTAGTGAGAATGATTTAACTTGTCTGGCTATATAAACTCCTCAGTATATCACCTGCTACCATGACAATTAGAAGGATAATTCTCAGTAAGCGCTGACTTCTATTAAAAAAGAAACAAACAAACAAAAAATCCAACAGAACATATCCTTGAATATCAGAGCTACTTCGACTGAAGTATTACAAAAAAACTGAGTACTTCTGAAGTGCTTCTCCAAAGTTGCCTAGGCAAAAAATTAATTGTGGCTTTAAGGGAGCAAAATGCTATTTTCCATCACATTATTAAATCATGTCTGTATTGCCAACATTTTCTGTGGTTTAAAAAGAAAAAAGGAATAAGAAATGAAAAGCTGACATGTGATGAACCTCAGTTTACCCAAACAGAAGACACTAACTGATGCTCCATATTCCACAAAGACCAGGAACTTAAAATTATCCAAGTTCTACCTATACATTCTATTATCTAACTGGTAATTTGTTTTCTAAAATTATGGTACAATATACATTCCAAGACAGCTACACTGGCTTTGTTCTAAAAGCTAAACCAACTATACCAGCATTCAGTTGTATCTGCTTATAAACAGTGTGGATCAGTGTGAATTTCAACCAAGCTAGATCTAGGTTCTAATAAGAATAAAATCCTTCATTTTATTCAGAGGCAAACTTAATAATAGTAGATTTTTATATCTTTTTTAATCCCATATGTCCCAAATTTAACACTTCCAAAAAAAAAAAAAAAAAAAAATCCTGCATGAGTAAGCTCCTGTGAGAAGATGCAAATCCAAAAAACTACAACTGGTATATTTTTCTTTTTTTTTTTGTAACACTTCCTCCCTTCTCTGACTAGCACATACTCTGCAGATTCAGAGGATAGCAGGAGGAGAAAGTGGGATCTCTAAGACTAATGGCATAATATGATTTATCTGATTACTTATCTTCCAATAATGCATTCTTAAATGAATTTAAAATATCATTCATTTATTTAAAAAAAGAAAAAGAGAAATAATGACCCCAGCACGTGAACAATCTTGTAATTACTCATGTTCTTATCTGAAATGATCATTTAAAAAAAGATTGCAGAGTGAAAAGGTTTCTTTACAGCACGGCTTTACTTGTAAAACTAAAACCTCAAGTACCACATATTTAGCATTTAAGGGCTCATCCATTAGAAAGCCAGACTCCCTGATGTAGTACTTCATAACGAAGAGAAAACATGACCGAGGACACAGTGCAAGAGATTAAAGCAGCTTTCAAAGGGTAGTCGCTCAGCCAGGGATTGCCAGTAAGAATATAAGCAGGTGCATTTGTACATTTACTGTTCCTCATCTTTCACGAAATGCGGCAAAGGAAAAGGACTTACACGACATTGGAGTACACTTGGAGGTCTGCAGAAAAATTCTGCACAGAGCAGGGAGTCAGAAATATGTGCAGATGAATATACGTGCAGATGAATATACGTGCAGGAGTCATTACAGAACACAAGCATACGCGGTCTGTACCGCAAAGATGACAGATTGAACACAAACAAGACAAAATAAAGAGCAACTGGTGAAGCAAGACTGTGTATCCTGCAGGTACTGAAGAGGATTTTAGGAGGGATGTGAAGGTGTGCCGTGGGTGCTTGACAGACAAAGACTAAAACAGAACGCAAGAAATAGGCAGCATCACTGGAGTGAAAAGGGCAAATATCTGCCGTGGTACTGTACAATAAGAAGCCCTCTACATTCTTAAAAATGATCTCATCACAGTGAGTCATTAGTTCAATTGCATTTCACACCATTCAGCCTAAGGCAAGCAGAACTGTACAGGACTCTACAGATGCTAATTCCAGCAAATGCATTGTGGCAATTTGAGCAATAAACACCAGTTTGCACCTGTTCACCGTCCCTGGGGTATTAGCTGATATCTGACCACATTTTCTTCTAACTTGCAAATGTAGTTCTGCTCAGTTTTAAACTATGAAATGAGGTCAGCCCCACTAAAAATACAAAAAGCCGAAGAGAATGCCAGTAGCTATTACAGTGCCCAAGAGCCATACCTGAACAAACCAGCACAGCACAAGCAGTGAGACAGAGATGTAAACAGATCTCAAATACCTCGTTTCGAGACAGCTACAATTTTTACAGGTCATAACACACTGCTACGTGGTCAGAAGTTCTGTTTGCTTCATTAGTACCAGGGGAATAAGAACTGCTACAGTGACTTCTAAATATATCAGATCAGAAATGTATACCTCCGGATACATATTAAATCAATACAGTTCTCTTCCTTCATTGTTATCTAAATCCAAACACACACACACACTATACATCATTATTATATTCTGCACACACCCAAAGCAGAGTTCAATACTAGCATCTATTTCATACTTACATGGAAGTGTTTTTCGTAAGTGCATCTCTGATCTAAACAGACGCTATGCTCCACCATGCACATACTTCAACACCTTCTCTTATTGTTGGTTTTTTTTTCCAATAGGATATACGGTTTACCTAGGCTTTAGAAGGAATTTTTTTCTGCTCTATTAACCACTATATGCATTGTACTGCAATGCACATGATAGCTCTTTCTCAGCATTGGTGTATGTGCCAGTATCAGCATTCCTTGATATCTGAGTATTGTAGACATGTTTGTTTCCTCTGAAGAACAGTGTTTTAGTCACCAATTGTTGTTAAAATCTTTTAAAAAAGAAGAAACTGCAGCATTCCTTTAGCAAATTTCCAGGGTAGTATTGAAAGATACAGAACAGACCAACTTACCCTTCCCTTCCCCACCGTTCAAACAAAATACCTCAGATGTACAGCACAGGACAATCTGCTTCAGACTTAGGACCTTCCAGCTTCACAAAAGCCAAACCCCCCTCCCACTTCACACATCCTGCTGCAATATCACTGAATTCATTTGTCTTACACTAAAGGCAGAGAAGAACTTGACTGTGTAATTACCTTGCCCCAACTCACAGAACAATCTCACAGTTCAACAGAAAATTAAATATGGGCGTTGCTTTTTGTTTTGCTGGGGGGTTATGTGGAACCAAATGCAACAAAGAGACGTCATAAGTGACTAATAGGAAAATTAGAATCGACTCATACCCAGTGGCTGTTAATGAAGGATGCAAAGTACATTGAGAATACAGGTCAACAGCAAAAGGGCAGGAGGCAGAAGAACACCGTGAGGAGACTGCGGTCATCGCGACTGCAGAATGGGGGAGGGCAACCAGCACTTGTCACAAGGAGCATGCTAACCTTGTTCCTCATATTGTAACAGAAACACACAACAGCTGGTCTTTGAATCATCAAGTGTGATGAGTGCTTTTCACAAAACCGCTAGGAGCAGCAGGGAGAGCCACATGACTAGCAGCTCCAAAGGCTCTGATTTAACGAGCTGTATGCAGAATAACAGCCAAACCCAGCGTTATCCCATTAGCTCTTGGACTAGAGATACACCATACATTCTGCTGAGTACAGTGTGCTTACAGAGCACAAGCAGTGTAGCACAAGTAGTCTAAGAATGGAGCTGAAACTAAAACATTAGATGTCTGTTCCCAGTGATAAATCTTAAAAAATTCAACTGAATTTTCCTTCGAATTGGCATTGGTCAGATAACTTCAGTTTGTCTTGATGCTTCAGAAGCATCACAACCACAATGTGCTTTCAATTATTTCGTCTTTATCTTAATTTCTTATTGTGGAGTATTAAACTGAAGCACAAATGTCATTAGAGACTTCAACATTATTTAAAAGAATGCAACTATTATAAACTGAG